TGGGTGCTGGAAATTGAGCCGAGGTCCTTTGGAAGAGCAGCCAGTGCTCTTAACCGCGGAGCCATCTCTCCAGCCCCAACACCTTGCATTTCTACAAAGTAAGGTGCTTGGAACAGGACCCATCCTGGGGCTTGGAACAGGACCCATCCTGGGGCTTGGAACAGGACCCATCATGGGGCTTGGAACAGGACCCATCATGGGGCTTGGAACAGGACCCATCATGGGGCTTGGAACAGGACCCATCATGGGGCTTGGAAAAGGACCCATCGTGGTGAGTTGTTTCTGGGAAAGAGGCAGCTAAGTAACATTGTCTTCACTGCTTAGATGAGAGGATTGAAGGGAAGGGACTCAGAGTTGGATGGTCACCATGGAAACACTTATGTCTTCCCCTCTCTCTCCAGTATCCTACTCACCTAGATTAAAAACACCATCCATGGTGACTAACATGTATTCAGTGTTTATCATTCCTTGTATGAATTATCTCATTTAGTCCTTACAACAACTTCATGAGTTCTATACAATCAGATCTAAGAACAGATAAGGACAAAAGGTTGAGACAACTGTTTTCCAGGTGCTTTTTTATTCATATGTTTTTAATTTTTTAAATTTTATTTTATTGTTTTTAAGGCAGGGTCTCTGTGTAGCCCTTGCTGTCTTGGAACTTGATTTATAAAGACTGGCCTTGAACTCAGAGATCCACCTGCCTCTGTCTCCCAAGCGCTGGAATTAAAGGCTTGTTCCGTCACACCTGGCTCTCACAACTGTTTTTGAAAAACAGTTATTGAAACAAAAGCTCCTGTCGTCCAGGCTTGGCCTTGGCAGATGGCCAAGCATGACCCTGAGTGCTAGCTCCTCCTCTCTTCATGTACTGAGTGCTGGGTTTATAGACATTCACATCACACTTGGTGCCATTGTCTTACATATCATCCTGATGTTGTGACATGTTTAAGGAGGCGTATGGATTCCATTATAACTACTTAACAATTTTTCGGTATACTGAGGAAAAATAGTTAACTTCCTCTTCTCATTAAATGCATATATTTTCCCTTCCTGTTTGTTTTTTCTCTCTTTCATGGAAAAAAAAAACATTTATTTTGTGTGCATTGGTCTTTGGTCTGCATATATGTTCATGAGAGGGTGCCAAATCCCTTGGACCTGAAGTTACAGACAGTCATGAGCTGCCATGTGGGTGCTGGGAATTGAACCCTAGTCCGTCGGGAGGAGCACCCAGTGCTCTTAGCTGCTGAGCCATCTCTCTCCTAGCTCCCCTTTTGTAGACATTTTAAACCGTAGGAACACTAGCAATTTTGGATTTTAGTTGTACTTCAGCCCCGCCTCCCCCGTGTGTGTGTGTGTGTGTGTGTGTATGAGAGTGTATGAGAGAAAGAGAGAGAGAGAGAGAGAGAGAGAGAGCTGTGCTGTGGGAGTTGATTCTCCGTCAGGTGGGGGCCTATGGTTATCAGGCTTGGCAGCAAGTGCCTTTCCCAGTAATGCCACTCGCCCCCAGCTCTTTAAGTCTCATTCAGGGGTCGGGACTGCTGTCACAGGCCCACAATCCCATCGCTTGGGAGGATGTCGTAAGAGGCCATCTTGGAGGCTGCCCATCAAACTCCTTACATCAAGGTGTGTCTGCTTGGGAGTCCAGACATGAGGAAGGCTATTGACCAGACATGCTGAGGCAGCCAGATGCAGCCTCTCAAAGAGGCAAACACCTCAGTCTTCTCTCTTGGAGGAAAGACAGTTGAAATACATGGGCATAGTCGAAGAGTGAAGATTTTTGGGTGGGGATATCTTTACACTGTTGGGCTCATACAGAAGCACAATGGTTTTGTATCTCAGAGATTGTAGTAAGAAGTTATAGATGTGCAAGTATTGAGTGACCCTAGATCCAGGGACTATTCAAGGGCTTAGAATAATCAAAAGAAAAAGGAAGACGCAGTCTCCACCTTCAAGAATCTAGCTTTTCATGTGGCAGAACAGAGACTATTTTTGCATATGCTCCACTAGATAGGAATGTTTAACGTCCTAATTAGAGTGCGTTTAGTTAGAGAAGGAAGACTCATACAGACTGATAGACGTATGCTTGATTTCCTTCTTTTCCTCCTCATTCTTTTTTCAAGTTTCTTGTAGCCCAGGCTGGCCTTGAACTTGCTCTGGATGACCTTGAATTGAGCCCCCTGCCCCCACCTCTGGAGCACTGGGACTACCTGCTGTGTTTATGCAGTGCTGGGGGTGGACCGGTGGCTCCATGCATGCTAGGCCAAGGGAGCTTCTTCATGCATGCTAGGCCAAGGGAGCTTCATGCATGCTAGACCAGGGGAGCTTCATGCATGCTAGGCCAAGGGAGCTTCATGCATGCTAGGCCAAGGGAGCTTCTTCATGCATGCTAGGCCAAGGGAGCTTCCTGCTGGAGCTACAACCCCACCCCCTTCTTGTTTTCTGTTTTGAAATGGGGACTCTTGCTCTATAGCTCAGACTCGCCTCAAACTTGGGACCCTCCTGCCTCCGCCTCTGGTGTAGCTACACCTAACTCTAATATATGGTTTGGAAGGACAGTGGGGATTTTACGGCTTCTGGCTCCTCCGTTTTATGAGCCTAGGGTTCTAGAAATAATCTGAGAAATTAGTCTGTGAAGTTAAAAGATAGAGAAGAAAAATGAATACAATTTGTACTTTTTGTTTATAGTGTTTGATTTAAATAAGATAAATTTTAATTAGACACCATTGAAGGAATGTAAGAGAATCAATTTTTTTTTATTTATGATGAAAATATTTTGGAGACAGGACTTGAATTAAATATGCATACATAGTGTGAGATGACCCAGAAAAAAACTGAAAGCAAGTGGTTCCATACACGAAGCTGCCTACTTTATATTTTATTAATCTAGTTTAATTATCCTTCGGGTGTTGGGAAGACAGAGGTGTAGGTAACCCAAATA